TAATTTGGCATTTTGATAGCCATTCGCCAAAATAAAATCAACCATTTTGAGCCATTATACGCATGCTCAATGGCACGTGGCCACTAATTCGCCAAAATAAAATCTGCTAATCACCAAAATTTAGCAATTTGCCAAATTTTAGTCCTTCCAAAATTTCCCGCTATACGGTACAAACAATTAAACATTTTACTCATTCTAAACAAGCAAGGATATACATGTAGTAGTAACAGTTAATTAATTGAAGTTAACTTCACATGTTGCAATTGTTCTAGTGACTTAGAGAGGCCCCCATGATGTTCCATTGAGTATTATGCTCGTGAATATCACTTGCATCTCATTACATTTGTCAATAATCATGTTTTACACAAATTTTTGAGTAACTTTAAAAATTCATAAAAAATCTAAGTTTGATTGGAATCAGCTCAAACTTTCTACACAACATAAGTACATGTACATGTATATGCATCAGGAAAAAATTATAAAAATAGAGAATTCACAACTGTTGAATTTAGGTAAAATTTGACTCAAGACCATTTGGCCCGATTTTTGAGCAACTTAAAAAATTCATTAAAAAATCCAGTTTTAATTGGAATCAGTTCAAACTTGCTACACAACATAAGCACAAGATAAGCATTTACCTGATCAAAATCATTATCAATACGTCCACCATAAATACACTGAGAGAGAAGAGTACGGAAGGTACTCCAGGGTATCTTATCAGGTGGTAGGTTAGTCCTCCCTTGGGCCACAGTATCCAACCAGGTGTCCAGAGTATCACACCCCATCCTCAAATCAGACTTGTTAAACTCGTACCTAGGGGCGGGGCCAATAAATAGACCACACCTACTAATAAACTGACTTTTTCGTCTAACCAAGTGGGCAATTCTCAACCTCTCTTGTAATATGGTGTGTAGTCATGCCAGTAAGAAATAAAGTTGGACTCTCTTGTGTGGATACCTACACATTCCAGTGACTAGTACTGTAGCAAAGGTTCAGATCAGGTTGGCCTTGATTCCAGGCAGAGGCTCAAACGTTAGGATCTGTGAGGTTCACAAACAATGAACAGGGATCTAAGTGGGTGTGGTCAGGATATGGGTGTGGTTAAGGCTGTATAAGAAGGCGTGGCTTACCTTAGGATTGATCTCCATTGTTAGGAAGAGATGGAAGTTGGCATGAGGTGAGAGAGAATGGAGCTTCTTCTCTAGTGATACTAACCACTGGGCAGCCAAATGGACATTCTTCAATAAGACCCATCTTAAAAAAAAGAAGTAATAATAATAATAATAATAATACATTAATATTTTGACAAATAAACTAGTATTATTTATACTAATAATAACAATAACAATAATAAATACAATATTTATAACAATAATAAATAACTATTATTATTATTACTAAATTCTCTATAAAAATACCTTCCAGTCTTTGAAGCTGATAAAATTGCTTTCTCTGCAAGATTAAATCCTTCAGCAGATCCAATAGCAATTGATG